ACAGTTTTACTGCTAAACCAGCATTAATTGTGAGCCCAGTATAAAATCCCATCCCAATTAATTACATTACAATACCAACTATCAGGAATAAAATAAGACTAAAATAAGGTATATTTCTATAGACCAATTTGGAGTAGACGTCACAGTTACGTCACTTGCAGCTGCGCGCGCATAATGGCGGCAGAAAATGATAGTTTTAACGTAGCAGTCTATTCAAGCCATGGAATAAAAGAATAAAAAAAAATAATTTTCACTTTATATTTCAAAATTCTGACTTTTTTTCTTGCAATTCCGAGATTATATCTCACAATTCTGTAAAAAAAAAATCAACTCTAAAATCAAACGTGACTAGTTTATAATCCCACAATTCTGGCTTTTTCCCCTCAGAATTGACAAACTCGCAATTGTTGACTTGAATACAGTTATAAAGTTCGAACTAGGAGATATAAACTTGCATTTGCAAGAAAAAAAGTCAGAATTGTTAGATAAAGTTTCCCTCTACTTGTTCCCAGTGTTTTTCTGCCACCAGAAAGGATCCGCCCACAAAAAACGTCATCACTGTTTGCAAACGCTGAAATTGGTCTATTTGACAGAAAACTAAGGTGTTATGCTAATTTGTAGCAGGCTCACATGGTTGCAACAAGTCAGATCAGAAAAAAAAAAAAAAGAAAAATGAAAAAGAAATGGCTGCCCACTTCTCCGGGTGTGTGTTCACGGTGTGTGTGTTCACTGCTGTGTGTGTGCACTTTGGATGGGATAAATGCAGAGCACTAATTCCGAGTATGGGTCACCATACTTGGCCACATGTCACGTCACATCACAGTGCATCAGTTAAAGATACTGGCTGGCGTTTATTCTGCCTTAGCAAAGGCCAACACGGGCTCTTGTAAGAGTACAGTGCCAACCCTTTTAATTTTAGTGCACTACAGTGATGTGTGAGGGAATAATTCGCTTTCCATCCAAGTCGTGACTAAAAGGCAGAGGAGATCCAGCGCTCCCCTGTGATGTTCTGCATCTGTGGAGCCCAGCAACACTGGCCATCCTGAGAATCTGACTGAGGAACAAGAACAATGAGAGAAGAAACTACAGAGAGCATCTTTCTTTCTAGTATCGCTCTTTTCTCTCTCTCTCTCTCTCACACTCTCTTTGTTTTTCTGTCTGAGATTTGTAGAAAGACACCTTGGCTCAACAGAAGTATATTTTGTGCTTTGAGAGTCTGTATTGGAAGTCAGTGAAGTTCTGAGGAGGAACATTGCCATCTACTGTTGGATGGTGGAATTACACACTCAAAGGTGAAGCGTGTGATTCCTGCGCCAACTAGCGGCACCAAAAACAACTGCAACCTGATGTCTGACCCCAGAGAGATCAAGGACTGGCTCAACAAAAATCTGGCTAAACAAGTGTTTGAAACTTTACATTTACAGACAATTATAAGGAAAAGAAAATATGATTAACTCAAAGAGGAAAGTGTGAAATTAAAAGCTGATTCTACAACTACGACTTTACTGCAGTGTCAGGTTGAATAAGCAATGAACATTTTTACAATAAATAAAATACTGAAAACATTTAGTGTAATATTTAGTGTAATAACGTTCAAATATTTTGCGACTTAGTTCAACACCTGTAAATATAGGGAATATTTACTGCTGCTTAAAAGTTTTCTTGAATCGCAAATCAATATTTAAGTATATCCTTCAAATATAAAATAGCATAACAGCATTAAAACTACCAGTCTGTATATTTGAGTCACTGAGTCTTGAAATGAGTGCCATATGCAGAAAACATAAAAAAATAGCTTTCATTTTGAGGCATATCCAGCATACCTCTTCCACAACGTCACAGCTACAAACTAATAATGTAACATTATTGCACTTGTGCACAGACAAACTCAGAATAAGATGAATATAAGTAACATAATCAACAACTATCATATCCATATAATCAACAATTCAAAGAATGGCTGCTGGTCTTCATGTTTGTCAGGTTTGTGGCCATAAAGCATTAGCATTCCAGTGTCAACAACACAACAATAAAAGAAATAAACATATTTCTTATGTGATGGGGTGAACTAATCTTTTCAAGTATGAAAAAACAACAAATAATAAATGTATTATAACGTTATATCAGCATGGCTCCTCTGAAGATACAGTGATGTCACTTCCTCTTGATCACATTATTGAAACGACAGTTCGCTGTTATTTCAGAGTAAATAAGACGTGTGTTGGAGCATCAAAATGCACATAGCTAAATTACTTGATTTAGGCCTTTAAATGAGATCAATCAAATTAGATCAGTATACATTGCCTGGATTTAAAATTGGCGTGCATTAAATTGAATTGATCTAGTGATCTAGTTTCATTGATCTAGGACATATGGACATGTCACAATGCATGTACTCCTTTTAAATATTTATATAAAAATACACCATAGCTGTCTGTAATATTGCATGACCCAATGTTTGAAAATATTAATATCTTAAAACCATTGTCTGTCTTCTTTTACAATGTAAGCTTATTATATGGAGCTCACATATATGTTTTTTGCTTTTCAGGGCCACTTTCTGAACATGAAAGTCACACAGTATCATGTCATGAGTGATCAGAGCACATCACTGAACAGGATTTAATGCCAGTACTTAGATATACTTTATACTTCATGCTATACTTTATCTCAAAGTAGTCATTAAAAAACACATGTTGGAGACTAAAACCCCCAGCTCTTTTTTTTTCATTCGCTTTCAATGAGTCACAGGCATGCAGCAATGACAAATAACCTAACAATAGTAACATGGTTTTTATCTGTGACAGGGCCAACTGGTATCTCTGCAACATTATCTCCA